AAAAAAAAAAAAGCTGTGGACCTGTTTGTGTTGTGAGCAATAGAGGAACTATGGAAGACAGGATTTACCACAAAAAGTGCTCTATCGACCAAGAGATTAGAAAGCATACAAATTCCCAAATCATAACAAGTAACTAGATGTGGCGCCTTCACAGCTTAAATCATTTCACTTAAAAGCATAAGACAATCCGGGCGGTGGTGGCGGCGGCGGCGCACGCCTTTAATCCCAGCACTTGGGAGGCAGAGCCAGGTGGATCTCTGTGAGTTTGAGGCCAGCCTGGTCTACAAAGCGAGATCCAGGACAAGCACCAAAACTACACAGAGAAACCCTGTCTCAAAAAACAAAACAAAAAAGCGTAAGACAAGAAGGTCGTTAGCTTGAAGCCAGCCTGGGCTACATAGCCAGAATCCATAAACTGTAGAGAGAATCACATTGCCGTGTTGTCTTTTTGTAATTGTTTCATGTACCATGCTATTTTAAAAGTTTGTATACCATGAATCCACACTTAATTATTTTTTTATGGCTACACATTGTCACTATATAGAAATACCACAGTTGATCAGTTTTTCGTCAGCCTGACCCAGGCCAGGTTCTCTGGGAAGAGGGAACTTCAGCTGAGAAAATGGCCTGTAGGCAAGTCTATAGAGCATGATTAATGGTTGACATGGGAGAGCCCAGCGCACTGTGGACTGTACCACCCCTAGGCAGATGGTGCTGGGTATATAAGAAAGCAAACTGAGCAAGCCAGTAGACAGTACTCTTCCATGGTCTCTACTTCATTCCTTTTTATTTTTATTTTTTGAAACCATTTCTCTGTGTAGCCCTGGCTGTCCCAGAACTCAGAGATCCGGCTGCCTCTGCTTCTAGAGTGCTGGGACTAAAGGAGTGCGCCATCACCCCTAACTTCCGCTTCAGTTCTAACCTCCAAGTTCCTGCTCTGACTTCCCTTCAAGATGGATTGTAAGCTATAAACTGAAATAAAACTGCTCTTCCCCAAGTTGCTTTTGGTCACGGTGTTTTTGTCCCAGCAATAGAAAGCAGACTAGACACCATTATGTATATCCATTTATTTGAGTTGCTGCTCCTTTGAGCCTAGTATGGCTTGAGCGGCGATGAACATTAAGACAACTGTTTCAGGACAGGAGTGTGCTTGCCTGGCAGATAAGCTCTTGTCTCCAAGCTTGATCCCTGCCATTCACACGGGTAAGGAGAGAACTGACTCCCTCAAGTTGTCTTCTGACCCCCACATGCATGCTGTGACATGCTTTCATGCACACACACAAACACACGAATGTAATTAATAAAAGTTTGTGTGAACCCATGATTTCATTGGGGGGGGGGGGCACACTACTGAAAATTGACCTGCTGGATCACAGGAGCTTTTTTTTTTTTTTTTTTTTCCATGTTGCTTTTCCACTATGCTTAATTTGTCTGTGTGTCTTCAAGTTAGAATGCACACATTTGTGCATGTGACTTCAGAAGAGCTGTAGAGCTGCAGATGGCTGTCAGCCACCCAATGTGACTGGTGGGAACGGAATTCAAGAATTGCTGAGTAATCTCTCCAGCTCATATACTAAGAACATGTTAACTTGGCTGTCAACAGTCTTAACTTTTTCTTTTCTTAAGATTTATCTAGGGCTAGAGAGATGGCTCAGCTCTTAAGAGCGTTGGCTGTTCTTTCAGAGGTCCTGAGTTCAATTCCCAGCACCCACATGGTGGCTTACAGCCATCTATAATGAGATCTGATGCCCTCTTCTGGCCTGCAAGCATACATGCAGACAGAACACTGTATTCATAATAAATAAATCTTTAAAAAGAAAATTTTATCTATTATTTTATGTGTATGGGTGTTTTGCCTGCATATATGTCTGAGCACTGTGCATATACAGTGTTCATGGATGCCTCAAAGGGCACTGCATCTCTTGCAACTATAGTTAAAGATGGTGGCTACCACCATATGTATGCTGGGAATTGAACCGTGGTCCTCTGGTACAAGTGCTCTTAACTATAAGCCCTCTCTCTCCAGCTCCCAATCTTATCCTTTTTATTTTCCATACCTGTCTAATAAAACACAACTCTGAGGGACTGGAGAGATGGCTCAGTGGTTAAGAACACTGGCTGCTTCTCCAGAGGATCTGGGTTCAATTCCCAGCACCCACATGGCAGCTTACAACTGTCAGTAGCTCTAGTTCAGGGGACCCAACACCCCCTTCTGGCCTCCCTAGATACCAAGCATGCACAAGGTACACAGACATACATGAAAGCAAAACACCCATACACATAAAATAGTAACACTAACAACACAACTTTGAGACTCTCTAGATAGAAAAACCCTAAGAGAATCTAGAGATCAACAAAAGGCTGTATGGTGGATGACTGACATGAGCTAGAGCCTATTCCATTAAAAAGACCAAAGAAGCCAGGCGGTGGTGGCGCTCGCCTTTAATCCCAGCACTCGGGAGGCAGAGCCAGGCGGATCTCTGTGAATTCGAGGCCAGCCTGGGCTACCAAGTGAGTTCCAGGAAAGGCCCAAAGCTACACAGAGAAACCCTGTCTTGAAAAACAAAAACAATAACAAAAACAAAAAGACCAAAGAATAGGAAGCTAGATCTGAAAGAAGTCATCAATGGAAACGCTCCTAAGGACATGGGCACAAGAAAACCACAGCAGATGCTATAAGATCAAGTGACATGGTCACTTCAACATTAGCAAATGCGGCAGAACTGCAAGACATTAAAAAAGTAAGATGAAGCTGGGCGCGGTGGCACACACCTTTAATCCCAGCGCTAGGGAGGCAGGGGCAGGCGGATCTCTGTGAGTTCAAGGCCAGCCTGGGCTACAGAGTGAGTTCCAGGACGGAACCAAAACTACACAGAGAAACCCTGTCTTGACGACACCACCACCACCACCACCACAACCCCAAAAAAAAAAAAAAAAAAGGGAAGATGATTATAGGATGATAATGGCTGGAAAGCAGTCCGGAAATAGGACCAGACAAACCAAGACAATGAACACAATAGCATCTGCCATGTGGCCACAATAGTACCACACACCTAAGTGTGTAGAGGGATGGAGGCTGGAGAGAGGGCCCTCCAGAGAACCCGAGTTCCTTAGCACTCACACAGCATCTCCTAAGCATTTGTGACTCCAGTTCCAGGGGACTGATGCCGTCTTTTGACCTACATGTACATGGGGAACAGACACGTTTAAAAAAAGAAGGAAAAGAAAAAGCACGTAGAGACAGTAAGGTACTCGGTGCCAGGGGCCCTCCTCTGCCTGTGTCCCCACCTCTCCTATCCTGAACCCCCTGCCTCAACTCCTTTAAGACTCAGTCTTCTTCCCTGTACAAGACTGTACTTGCTTGACCAACAGGACCCAGGAGGAGGGACACACCAGTACTAACACTACACTGAGGTGGAAGCAGTCGCTGCTTCAGCTTTCAACCTAGATAGAGTTCCACCACTGCTCTGAAGAAGTCCAACCCACTTCATGGAGAACAAGCCACACACACAAAGCCAAGGGCCCAGCCAGCACCCACGGCCTTCCCACTGTGAATGATATGCAGTGGCACAATTACCCCCACTGAGTAGCTGAGTATCCCCAAGAATAACCATCCCCGTTTGAGACAGCCAGTCTACAGAATGAGCCAAAAACCGGTTACTTTAAGCCACTGTTTCATTTTATCTCTAATTAGTTAGCTTTTTAAAAAATAATTTGCTTACTTTTATTTCATGTGCATTTGTGTTTTGCCTGCATGTATGTATGTCTGAAGGTGTCAGATCCCCTGAAACTAGAGTTACAGACAGGTGTGAACTGCCATGTGGTGCTGGGAATTGAACCTGGGTCCTCTGGAAGAGCAGCCAGTGCTCTTAACCGCTGAGCCATCTCTCCAGTCCCTAATTTTATGTGATTAGAGTTGTACCTATGTGTATGTTTGTGTACCATGTACAAGCCTGGTACCCTTGGAAGCCAGAAGAGGATATTAGATCCCCCTGGAACTGGAGTTACAGGCAGTTGTGAACTACCACAAGGGTGATGGGAGGGCTGGAGAGGTGGCTCAGAGGTTAAGAGCACTGGCTGTTCTTCCAGAGGTCCTGAGTTCAATTCCCAGCAACCACATGGTGGCTCACAACCATCTGTAATGAGATCTGGTGCCCTCTTCTGGCTTGCAGGGATATGTGCAGACAGAACACTATACATAATAAATAAATAAAAAAGGGGGGTGGTTGGGAATTGAACCCAGGTCCCATGGAACAGCATCCAGTGAATGAATCATCTCTCCAGTAGCTAGCCACTAAGTTTCAATGGGGGTTATAATACAGCATAGGTAACAGAAAATGGGAGAACATGGCATCCCATCCTGAATCCTGTCAGTGCTGATGGAATCAAAGCCACACTACAAAGACTACAACAAGCAATTGGTTTTCTAGGAAGAAGCTCTGTGTCCCAAATCACAAAACCAGTAATTCTGTCACTATAGTTGAAACAAAATTCTTAATAAACAATAAGCATATTCTACAAAAGAACTGCCCCAAACTTCAGGGTGGCGGCGGCACATGCCTTAATCCCAGTATTCAGGAGGCAGAAGTGGATCACCTCAAAGTGAGTTTGAGGCCAGCCAGGAGGCAGAAGTGGATCACCTCAAAGTGAGTTTGAGGCCAGCCTGGTCTACAGAGCGAGTTCCAGGACAGCCAAGGGCTACACAGAGAAATCCTGTCTTGAAAAACCAAAAATGAAAACTAGCCCTAACCTATCTGGCTCTTTGGAGGGAGGGGCACAGCCCCAACCTGAAACTGCAGCAGCCTGTGTATCTAGATGTGAAGATAAAATAGGACTAAGAAGTGGTAAAGCATCTGCACCCAGGCCTGAGAGCCCCCTGGCCCTGGCCTTCATGCTATCGGTTCACAGGTAAAGGAGGAGACTCTAAGTCAGTGCCAGAGGGCCTGATATAGAAGCCCTTCTCCCCACACCTACCTATGACTTGCCCCTGGGGTGGGTCCGAGACAGGAGCCCTTAAGGCCCAAGATCTGGATGTGCCAGCTCTCTTGGTTCCTTGATCCTGGATGCTGGATGGCGGACCAAGCAGAGTTCTCCAGAGAACACTGCTGGAATGCACTCCACCTCTCCCACATCCTGTAACTAACCCCTTTACTGGCTGTAAGTTACCCAAAAATAAACCTCCCTTTTAACTACACGGAGTTGCCTTAATAAATCTCCCAATATAAAGTCTCTCTACTGGAAGTAGTAAGAAAGGGACAAGAAGGAGAACAATCATGACATGTAATCAAATACTTTTCTAAGAAAAATGAGCATGGACATATATAGTCACATCTAACTCGAAGAGTTACAGACAATGCAGCCAGCTACATGCTTTCACAGGAATACTACCCAAGTCTGACTGTATCTGGTCTTGAACCCCCAAACCACGTACTGGGAGCTACAGGATTTGGTTCAACCCTTCTGTTAAGCCTGGAATGTCCTCACTAACCTTTCTTCTAAGTGATTCCAAGTGCTAACTGTTGTGTGCATCCAACACCTTCCTCACTTTCCCCATCTAGGCAGTATCACAATCCTTGATCACCTCCAAGGTCAGTGTCCATGCACAGTTGACAGCTCGATTGAGACGAGGCAAACCCACAGGACTGATGGGGTTTCAGCAGTACTTCTATGTACACTTGGGTTGCTAAGGTAGTATTTCTCAACTCCATCTGATAGAGTGTTGGAGAGACCCTTCAAGCACCCATCACAAAGCAGTATTCCCGGAAGAGAGACCTATCTAAGGCAGCGAGGAGAAAGGTGCTTGGCTCACCTTGGTCGGTCTTGGTGGCTGGCTTCCAGTTTTCAGCACTAATTACCGGCAGACAGACCTGCCCCTTCTCATCAATGTTAGGGTGATAGATCTTGGTTTTAAATGTGATCTTGGGTGGTTTGAATGGATACTCTGCTGGAAAGTTGATTTCAATTCTAAAGGCTCCCTTGTCATACGGAGGGTTGTCCTAAAAGAAAATAAAAAAGGAGGGAAAACAAAAAACAAAAAACCACATCAAAATCAACATACCAAAGTCCATACACCTATGGCCAAACCAGGGCTGCTTTAATTGTTCATTAATTATTCCCAATAGTACACTGACTGAAGCTCTGCCACACAAAAGGTAATCCAACAACCAACCAGTATTTCTAGATAAGATGCCCAATCAATTCTGAAAAGGTCTGATTATCAATGTCATAATAACCTTACTGTTTTTTAAATAGTGTGGTGGTTTGAATGAGAAGCCCCCTCCCCCATAGGTTCATGTTTGAATGCTTGGTCTGAAGTTGGTGGAAGTATTTGTCAAAGATCAGGAGGTGTGGCCATGCTGGAGAAGGTGTGTTACTGGGGGTGGGCTGTGAGCTTTCAAAGCCAGCCTCGTCTACAGAGTAAGTTCCAGGACAGCCAGGGCTACACAGAGAAACTGTCTTGAAAAAAATGAAACAAAACAAAAAGAGCAAAGAGCACCATTGCTGGCTCATATTATAAGAATATGTTTGGTTCTACTTGAAACTGCCTATGTGACAGAATCCTGAGAGAAACAACTTAAAAAAGCTTCTTTTGGCTCACACTCTACATTAAGGTAGATAAAGAGAGAGTAGAAGTAGGCCCAGACGAAAACCTGAAAAGCCCACTCCTAGTGACTTACGGCCACCAGCCAAGCCCGACCACCTCCTAAAAGTTCCAGTTTCCCAACTGTGCTACCAGTTTGAACATGAGATGTGGAGGGTAAAGTTTTAAAGATTTATTTTGTGTGTATATGCACACATGTGTGGGCAGCTACAGAAGCCAGAGGGCATCAGATCCTTGAGCTAGTTTTCGATGCTGGTGAGCTCCTGGATGTGGGCACTTGCCATTCAAACATAAACCCTGTGCAACCGTCTTCCTGAGTTCCACCTGCACTCGCCCAGCAGTGAACCAACAGTCCCACCGCTTCAGTACAGGCTGCATTTAAAGGTGTCAATACGTTACTGTCACGCTAGAGATGTGGAGTGGCACTTCACTGTTGCTTCAAGTTCTTTTTCAATGACAGACAATATTAAGTTTGCTTTCTGTATATTTCTCTCTTTAAATTTCTTTTAAAAAGAAAAAACTCTGTGAGTCTATGTGTGGGCACACATGCATGTACACATGGAGGTCTTCCCCCACCTGGGGGTCTAGGGAATTGAATTCAGGTCATCAGGCTGGGTAGTAAGCACTCCTACTCACTGACCCACCTTCTTTGCTCCCTCCTCTCTAGGTAGCTGAAGCTGGCTTTGAACTTTCAGTCTCCCTGACTCTTCCTCCTGAGCCCTATGGTGATATTTTATTTGTGATGAAATGTAAGTTTATTTGTAAGTTAATAAATAAAGTTGCCTGGGGGTCAGAGCTGAGAGCAAGCCATTTAGCATAAGTCCACGTGGTGGCACGTGCCCTTAATCTGATCACATGGCAGGCAGAGTCTCTGTGTGTTCAAGGACACAGCCAATCGGTGACCTGACCCTTTAATCTCAGTACAAACCATAGAGACCTGGAGGTCTGTATAGACAGGCAGGGACGAGGAAATCATATGGTTGGGTTTAAAGCCAATGAGAAGACAGAACAGAAAGGCAATAAAAAGATGGGTCACACAGGTCTCTCTCTCAGGGGAAGGATGGAAGACACTGGTAAGCTAAAGGCTATTTGCTAGTGCTCTGACCTCTTGGGCTTTTAACTCTGTATTTGGCTTTGTGTCTCTTATTTATTAAGACAGTTTAGAATTTCATCTACAGAGCCCTGAGATTACAGGCATATGCCACCACACCTAGCTTTAGCTGCCACTTTCTAAAAAAAGAGAAGGGTCTCACCATGCTGCCCAGGCCCGAGATATCCCTAAAACACTGGGCTCAAGTGCTCCTCTAGCCCCAACCTTCCACGTGCCTAGAACTACAAGTATATATCACTATGCTTTGCCTGCATACCTTCATTTATGAGTTAAGATTCGGTTGCTATTCCTATTTTACATTAGGCATTTAGTTTTTCTCTTCTCTCCCTCCCCACCAAAGGTAACTCCCCACAGAGACAGGGTTTCTCTGTGTAGTCCTGGATCTCACTCTGTAGACCAGGCTGGCCTCAAACTCACAGCAATCCGCCTGGCTCCCGAGTGCTGGGATTAAAGCCGTGCACCACCACTGCCCGGCCAGAGATAACTTTAAATTTTGTTTGGGTGTGTGCCAGTGCACGTATGTGCACACAGAGGTCAGAGTAGAGCTTATCCAAGTCAGTTCTCTCCTTCTACCATGTGATGGCCCCCGGTCCTCAAGAATGAACTCTGGCCTTTCCTCTACTCTACTCACCTCCAGAACTGAAGAATCCCTCCACACTGTACTGCTCTCCTTATATTAGGGCTCCTTGGTTTGCAAGATGTCCAGGAGCACCACGACAGGCCCATACTTCATCTTATCTCCTTACACCAGGACTGAACTCAGGTCATCAGGCTTGACAAGAAATGCCTTGAACCCACTAAACTATCTTGAGGGGTATCAGTAAAATCTCTCATACTTCTGGACACATTATTTGCAGACTGGAGGAGAAACTACAGAAGGATCCACAACATTCACACATGGTGTCAAAGCTTTGTGTGTTCACCTTATTTGTCAGGGACTCGCAAGAGCTCTTGTGTCAACAAGGTTATTCCTGTATGGAGGAGAGACATTCTCACACACCTGCCCTCCCTCCTCCAGGCCAAGCTTTGGTGCAAAGTCCTTATCCCCAACAGCATCACCACTCTCCCTCCCTGGTTTCCAATGTGTTCTCCTATTCTCAGTGGTCCCATTTTCTCAACGCAGAATTCCAAGAGTTCTTCACAGATAAGTGTTTTTGAAGCTATAAAGAGCCTCCAGTGATAAATAACTCAGTGCAGAGCACACAAAAGTGATGGCAGGTCAGACAAGAGTCTAGACTCTGAGTTCTAGAAAGCTTAGTCTCCTGAGGTGAGACCAGCACTCTGCTCAATGGTGGAACCTGAAGAAGATGAGCTAATTGTGTTGGTTGACATGAGCTAGTACCACACCCAGGGTCCCCAAGAATGAACTCTTTGGGATCTCCATCCTGTTCACTTCCAGAACTGAAGATACCCTCCACACTGTCCTGCTCTTATATTTGGGATCCCTGGTGTGTGAAATGCCCAGCAGCACTACGGTAGCCTCCATACTTCATCCCAGCTCCTCACACCCTGGGCCTAAGTGAAAACTCTACAGCAAGCAATATACCTACTGGGGGCTGAGACTGACACATACCCAGTGCCCAGATTCCTACAGTCTAAACCCCAACCAGGGAAGGGAGGCCCTGCACGATGTCCTAAGAAAGACGCGGGTAGGCTGAGCAAAGGAAGGGAAAGAGAGGCCTCCTAGCAGAAGGTTAGACTAGGACGTCAGGTTGATGGGACAGCACAGCATGCTGGGAGGATGCAAGCAGGCAGCTGCTAAGAAGCCACTATGGCTGTAAATGGTAGCCAAAACCAAGGCACTCAACACACAGAAACTGCCAGGCAGGCTGGTTGGGAGCGGGGAGAAACAGTCGACTAGCGAGAGCAGGGATGCTCGGGAACGGTGAAGTCGAGCATGCCTGTGTGTAGAAGGCAGCAGCCTTGCACTGCTAGAAACCAGAGGATCACTCCACCACCTACCACCCAGCCTGGACTCATCCTTCCATCACAACTTGGGCTTGGTGCCAGAAGTCTTTACCTGCTGAGCCATTCTACCAATCCCTCAATTCTCTCTTTAAGGAACAGTTTTCTAGATCACTCCAAAAGCTTGTCTTGTCTGTACTCTTGACAGGACAACTAAACTCTGCTGCTTTAGGGTGCAACTACTAAAAATATTGTTCACATTGCTTTAGCCATGTAAAAATAGCTTGCTCCTGAAGACTGCTGGCTGGTAAGAGCCGCTAAATGTCTTTATTCACCATCCAGGACTGATCAACCTCCTATTTCCTGCTGCTCATAATGCTCTGTGCAAGAAGCTGGGAAGTTGAGGGTGGCCACAGCAGATTTAAACACGGGCCTATCACTTCCTAGCCAGAGACAAATCTGAGAGCATGCTCAATCGTGTAAAACGGGAGTAGCTAGAGCACACATCAAAGGTACTGACAACGAGAAACTAGGTTTGTGAAGTGCCTTGTGCCTGGCACAAAGGGACGCTCTTGCTACAGGAACAGAGGCTATCCTCACCAAGGGCTCATGGCCACACTTACTAACTACTAAGAGCCTCTTTCCCTGTTGTGTGGTTTGAATAGAAATGGGCCCCATAGGCTCACAAATGCTAGGTCACAAGGGAGGGGATATTAGGAGGTGTGGCCTTGTAAGAGGAAGTGTGTCACTGGGGGTGGGCTTTGGGGTTTCAAATGCTCAAGCCAAGCCCAGTGTCTCTTTCTTTCTTCCAGCTGCCTGCCAATCTCGATATAGAACCCCAAGCTACTTTTCTAGCACCATTTCTGCCTGTGTACCATCATACTTTCTGCCATAATAAACTCTGAACTGTAAGCCACCCCAATTAAATGTTTTCCTTTATAGAGTTGCCATGGTCATGATGTCTCTTCACAGCAATAGACCCTAAGACTCTTGTGTGGGCAAAGAAGTGGCTCTGGTGTGTACAAATCACAGACTGGCAGCCCACACTGGCCTGGTACTGAGGTCACAGGAGTTGCCACCACATCCAGCTTGACCAAGTTATTTTTGGTGAAAGGGCATAAAATTCAAACTGTCGGTCCTTTGGGTAAAGTCGCTGGAATAGTTACAATTCTCATCCCTGCAACAAAGTGAGACACAACTAAGAGGGGATATATTTTGGCTCTCAGTATCAGGGAGATCAGTCTACCCTAACAGGATAGGAATGGCAGAACAATTCACATCACAGCAGAGAGAAAGCAGGGTGGGGAGAATGCTGCACTCGGCTCTCTCCTTTCATTCCATCCAGCTCATGATGGTAACATTCAATTTAGAATCTGCTA